CACTATTGGAAAAATTACTGTTCAGGACAAGAAATCTCAGAATTCACCACCTGCCCCCCTGGCCATGCTGGCTGAGATAATTTGGAAGTTTCAATTGAAAAAGTATATTTTCCAAACTCTCTGCTTTTCATGTCAGGAGGCAAGAGTGACTATCCAGCATAATTAAAGGCTAGGTGTGTGTTAACTTAAGTGGTGTAGTTCTGAAATCTTCCTTTGTAATGTGAGGCATGTCAGGGAGCCCTTACGCTTCTAATGAAAATGACAGTAGACCAAGCAAGATCAAAAGCATTTTCCGCTTGATCTGTGTGCTTTTAGCTCCCTGCTCCATGAAATGTGCATCTGCCTTACAGAGTCCTTGTGGTGAATTCCACTTGTGTTTTTATATGTCTTTATATGCTAGTCTTGGTACATTGCACTTACAGTATATTGGACTTCAAAAGACTTCTTAGTGTTGACTTGCAGTGAAATGTAGGGGATGTGCACTGCATTTCGCTGAATGCCTAGACACTAACCAAATCAGACCTTTTTTTGTTTCTCCGTGACGACCACTGAATGGAAGAAAAAGCCCAGGACACTCCTGGAATGGAGCAGTACCAATCCATGTGTCTTGTTTTAAATCTAACATTTGAAAGGTTGAAATGTTAAATAAAAGTATGCAATGTGATTAAAATAAGGGGAAAGAAAACTGAAAATATCAGTACCTTACAAGGAAGAGACAGCACCAAAAGAGAAGACTGACAATGTTACACACACACACACCCAATTAAGTCCAAGATCTCTCCTGCACACTCAAATTATACTCAAATAGCACTCAAATCACTGAGATATAGGGAGAGATCTCTGTGGTCACCAGACTACAGCAGCGACTCTCCACATTTTGTTACAGCTGCCATGTGAAATGAGAGACTTCTGCTGATCTCTCATGGGCTCCGTATGACTGAATTTTCTCCAACTTTAAAAAAAAAGTTATTTACAATACTGGGACTAAGTGTGAATGTGTGCATGAAAGTCTACATTCATCTCTGGGTTTTGAGTGATTAGGTAAAAATTTCACATTAGGATCTCTTTCTCATCACTCCACCACTTTAATTTCTATCTCTCTCTCTCTCATTTGGTTTTGGTGCTGCAGGTGCCAATGTTCATAATAGTGGTCTTGCTTCTCTTTTTATATTCTTTGGGCTGGAAGCCAGCAAATAATTCTTCCAGAAATAATTTTTATGGCATAATGGTTAACCTCCCAATGCAATCCTAGTTGTAGGTTTCAAAGAAGTAGCCATGTTAGTCTGTGAAAGCATATCAGACAAAAAAATAAAAATAAACAGAGAAAGAGAAAAAAGAGACAGAAACCTTGTGGCACCTGAAAGACTAATTGTTACAATAGCATTACTAAATTAAAACAGCACGATCATCCCAAGTTCCAAGTAAAACAAAGGAAACATGGTTAAAACCGATCTTATGATCTTAGGAATCTTACAATCTTACTTGGGGCAAGTCCCATCATACTTAAAGGGACTTAATTTCTGAGGAAATACGGATTTATTTATTTATTTATTTATTTATTTATTTATTTATTTATTTATTTATTTATTTATTTGTTTGTTTGTTTGTTTGTTTGTTTGTTTGTTTATTTATACCTCGCCCATCTAGACCAGTGGTCTCCAACCTTGGGCCTCCAGATGTTCTTGGACTACAGCTCCCAGAAGCCTTCACCATCACCTCTGCTGACCAGGATTTCTGGGAGTTGAAGTCCAAGAACACCTGGAGGCCCAAGGTTGGGGACCACTGATCTAGACCAAAGGTATTGTGAAAGATTTATCTTCTTAGCTCTCCCATCCCTGCTTTAGTGGTCTCTTAGTCATTGCTTCCTGTCATCTTCTCTCCTCCCCCCCCTCCTCCATGTAGTGGTTATAAAAAATTCACAAATGAAATTAAAGATTTTGTTCTGCCTTTCCAGTACAGATAGAGAACCTCGGGCCCTTCCAGACTCATCCCATGAGCAGAGTCTTGACTACAGTAGTGCAGTTTAACCATTGTGCTATTGGGGGTGTGTGTAAGTGTATTGTTTTGTGAATTTATTGCTGTTCCTTCGTTTCTGGAACTTCCCTGAGTGCTTTGTACTGAGACAGAGATTAGGATATTAGCATTACAAAGAAATAAAATACTTAAATCCGTATAAAGCCAATGTGGTGTGTTGGATGGAGTGTGAGACTAGATAACGCGGGAGACATGAGTTCAAACCCCATCACAGGCATAAAAACTCACTGCAGGGGTAAGATGGCAAAGGAAAAACAAGTCATTGAATGTCTCGCACACCTTGAAAACCATCTTATGGCCACCATAAATCCGAAGCAGCTTGATGGCATGGCGCATAACAACAACAGAACCAGTATCAAAAGAATGAGTCTTATTTAAGGATGCTCTATGTAAAATAAAACTTCTGCCTTCAAGATAACACAAGATCATTTGCTGGTTTTGCTGCTGCAGACTGACAGGGCTATCTGTGTGGACATAAAACATTTGGACTTGAAATTCAGCTTCTGAAATGTCTGTGTGAGGTGCGGTGAGGGGGCCTCTTAGGAACCTGCCCCACTGCCACTGAGCGCAAAAGCAAAATGAAGAGTATCTTCTGTGAGAACATGCACGTAGTTACTGTTGGCTGCCCGGCCCAAGCGAGTGTGCTGAATACAAGTACAACTTCCTTTTGGCAGAAGGCAAAGCTGCCAGCCTGAGTTCTCAAGTTGCAAGGCGGCAGAACGCTGAGCGCTGGGATTCCAGCATCCTCTTACAGAACTGAGCATGCCAGTGGGTTGAGAAAATCATTGCCCCAGAGATTGAAAGCAGATTTGCACTGTGCTTCTGACCCACAGTGCTGTGTATGTGTGTGCATTCTTGCATGTGGAAATATGCACAGTGTGAGGGTGGGTGTCAAATTGGTGGAAAACAACAAAAGTCCAGGCAAAAATGAGTCAGAAAGAGGCTGCCTGTTTTCTTCAATTCCTTTATATCTTTTTTTAAAGGCAGTTGGTGGTGCAATCTGACATATTTTAAGAGTTCCTTTGGTTTCTGAAGAAGCTGTGTGGAGATGTATTTCTTTTGATCCTACACTGTGTAACCTCCAGGGATGAGGCAAAGCTTGGCAGCAGTGGGTTTTTTGGGGGGGGGTTGGGGGGCATTGTTTGTGTTGTGTTAGAACACTCCGTGCTGTTACTGTTATGAAAAAGAAAAGGCTGAATCGCTGAATTGTCCTGGAGCAACGTTAATTATCTTGAAGTATGGCGCTCTTGAGATGGCTCCAAAATCTTAGCGCCAGGAGCAATTCCTGATCAGATAGTGTTCTTTAATAAGCGTCCTCATGATTTAAAACAGGAATTGGGTAAAATGCTAAGGACTGTGTGCTTTGATCCCACACTTTCTGCTGCTTTCTGTTACGATACTGAAATAATGATTTAGCTTGCCAATTTATTTTATAACGCATCTAGCCTCGTCCTACAGCATTCATACTTAAATTCTGGTTTAAAAATAATTAAGGCTTGGCACATAGGCTTAGGCCCATTCTGCTTATTTTCACAGGAGCGACTAGATGGTGGGAAAAGTTGGGTCAAGGTGCAAACAGAAAGCTTAACTTTATTTTCTTACAATGTGTTTTGTCTTAGACAGTTACAGTACATGTCAAAATATTATCTAAATAACTTTGGGATTCAGTCAAAACTAATGAGTTGTCCTTGAACGTTGAAAAAGCAGGTGTGTTACAGTCTAGGGTGTGGGATTGTACAGAAGAGAATTATCATTGTACCTACAACCTGTGATCACAACAGACGTCATATTCACATATGTGATATATTTGGGCAATTCCTGCAACAAAAGTAACGACTATACAGTATACCGGCACATTTTCCTCCTTAAACACCTGGAGAATCCTACTCTAGGACAGTGGTTCCCACCCTTGGGTCCCCAGATGTTTTTGGACTAAAACTCCCAGAAACCTTCACTGCTAGCTGTGCTGGCTGGGATTTCTGGGAAGTGTAGTCTAAGAATTTCTGGGGACCCAAGATTGGGAGCTATTGCGCTAGGAAGTGCAATTCTCCTTTAAACCAAGGTGCACAGTCTCTGTAAGCTTGTTTTGGTTTTTAACCAAGAATTTCTGGGGACCCAAGGTTGGGAGCTATTGCGCTAGGAAGTGCAGTTCTCCTTTAAACCAAGGTGCACAGTCCCTGTAAGCTTGTTTTGGTTTTTACATTAAAGTTGTAGAATGTGGTGTTGAAACCAGCCTTCTGGCCAAATCAAGGTTTGATAGGAAGGATTACTCTGGCCCGTGTTTGTTCAGGGTGGTAGTTAACCATTTCAGGCTGCCCATGCTATATCACACCATCTCTGATCAATGGCTGACCAGCCATTGTTTAAATACCTGCAGCAAAAGAGAAATACCTCACAGCCTCACTGCTGTCCTTTGGAGCAACCAAGAGCAACTCTGGTTCATCTTCAGATAGGCAATCTTCTAGATATTTGAAATCAGTGACTATGCTGATTATTATAATTTTACCGAGGTGTAGCTATATCCCAAATTCCCTGCACATAGAAAGTAAGCATATTAGGAAGAAGGAGAGGCTGGGAGCCTTCTCTCTAACCTGTGAGCATTATGCCTGAAAATACACAGATACTGCAACAAAGATATACTTGTGTTGGTCCTGTATTAGCAGATGCTCATAGCAGCAATTTGTGGGATGGATTGTGTCTTAATCAATGCCTGTTGTAGGACAGGTGCCTGCGTAGTGTGCCAAAGGTATGCAAGAGTAGTCCCAGAAACAATGGGAAAAAAGGGCTGTTCTGTTCCATTCTGTGGCAGACTGATAATGCAATTTGTCTTAATCAATGCCTGTTGTAGGACAGGTACCTGCGTAGCGTGCCAAAAGTATGCAAGAGTAGTCCCAGAAACTATGAAAAAAAGGGGGGGCTGTTCTGTTCCGTTTTGTGGCACACTGATAATCCAATTCTTGTTTTAGGAAACTGAAGAAAAGCTGAGAGCGGAGTTTGGTCTATTTCACCAGAACGGTAACCAAGGTTGCAGCCTGAAAGCTGAAGGTAAGTTAACTTGCAATATTTGACTGACTCTTCTAGACTACTCGCTGCCAGCATTCCTTGGAAATGCTCCAAAATACGGATGCAAACGGGATTTTAAAATGCCTGTATGTTCGGCCAGTAACCCCATTGGCTATGGAATTCTGGGAGTTGTAATCCACCTTTTCCCCATCTCTGCCCTACCTCTATCACCATCATCCCCTGGATGCTTTCTGGAAGCTGTCAGGCACTTGAGTAGACCCATTTCCTATCCCAGCTACAGCTCCCTGGGATTTGGGTGTTGTAGTCTAGAAAAGTAACTTTTCCAGGAATTCATGGACACCTTGACATTCCTTATAACCTGGAAGTTCATGGGGGCTTTCTCAGGTGCTTAGAGTTTTAAAAGTTTTTTCTTCTCTGCAGACATAAATCTGACCAAGTGCTTCTTATGTGAAGCTGTTTTGCTTATAAACTGCTCTGCCAGAATTGGCCAGTTTAGTCATTAGCAAATGTTCCTTGAAAACCTAGAAGGCTGGCAGATCAGCTAATTTTATCTCCAGGAGGAAAGAATGACATTCCTGTGTCATTCAAATGACCCACTGAGACAGACTCCTCTTTTAACTGCTGCTTTCAACTGCCTTTATCCAGCTTAGTACTATCAGTGACAAGAATTGCCTCTGAACATCCAACCTGGATCACAGCTGTTTCCATGTTATGGGCTGTATATAACATTTGACACTCTCAAGTGTTTTGACTACGTTTTTCAGCAGCAAGTTAGTCTGGGACCCTGATTGTTTCCAATAGCAAAATTTGTAACATTCCTGTAACTGGAAAACGCTGTCTCTAAGGAAGAGCTACAGTATTTCAGATTCCTGGCACATGTTTCTATCTCCACGTTTTTGTATTTGTATAAAAGCTGAGCTTTTGCATGGTCGCCAAGCGTGGGAAAGCGGATTAATCGGAAACGTGTTGAAGCCATTTAAGGAGCCTCTACAGGACAAATATTTGGTTTAAGTGTATATCTAAGGCAGGGCATGGTGAATGTCTTCAGAAGTCAGATTGTGCCCCGCAAGATGGGTGCTCCGTTTGACGACAAAATCGCATCACGATGAACTTTTTGCGATCGCAAAAGCGATTGCAAAATGATGTTCTGAATGGGGGAATTTCACTTTGCAATGATCGGTTCCCTGCTTCAGGAACTGATCATCGCAAAGAGATGATTTTGTAACAGCTGATCGGCGGTTTCAAAATGGCCACCGGGTAAACAAAATGGCCACCCACTGTGTTTTCGCATGGATTCCTCGCTGCACAGGCAGCGAAAATGGCCACGCTATGGAGGATCTTCGCTGGACGGTGAGTCTGAAGCCCTAGGAACGCATTAATCTGGTTTTAATGTGTTTCTAGGAGCTTTTTAAAATCGCATCACAACATTTTCATTCTATAGCGATTTCGCTGAAACAAATTAACGTTGTGATGCGAGGCACCACTGTATGCTAGCTATATTACTCATAAAATATTTGATTGCCTCAACCACGTAGGGAAGACTGTCAAAAATAGGTAAGTGTTCAACGTGTGCTTAAAAAAAGAATTAGTGAAACATGTTGCAATAGGTAGGAAGCCATTTAACAACACACACATATTTCTGGCTAACTCCCTCCTTTCTCTTTTCTTTTTGCTTCTCCTTTCTCCGCCATTTCATTCAGCTAGTTCTTTTCTTGTCTCCAGTTTCAGTACTACCAAAACAGATTGCTTGGATGAATTAAATTAAATTATTGCTCAATTGAAAATGGGTTTGTTATTTTTATTTGACTTTTCTACAATGCATGCAGCTTGAGATGGTATTGTAGTCATGTCTGTGCTATTAACAGCAAGCACAGCAGCAGCAACAACAACAACAGTATCATTTAGGTGCTATTAACCCTTCCTATTGCATTGTTACGGGGTGAGGAGGAGAAGAAATCGGTTTGATAGATATTGTCTCTGCATTTCTTAGAAGGGAAAAGCCAGGCATGAATCGAGCACACCTCCAACTCTGTGATTCTGTCTGAACAGTTTACTCATGCAACTAAAAATAGGTCACTCTGAGCTGAGAAAAAAACCCCAGAAAAGCATGTGGTAGAACAAGCCAAGCAGACTATTGGTTGATCTTTTGAAAAATGATTGTGTCTAGAGGAACAGGGAAATGAAATGTGCAAACATAATTTCTTTCAGCTGCTGTGTGCCCAGTGCTGTAATCATGTCAGCCCCGGCATCCTTGGAACAGCTGGCAGGGCCCCAGTCCACTGGCCAGTCTAGACCAAGCCAAATGTTGACAACTGGTCCTTGAGCCCTCTTACACTTCCCATCTCCTGGTTTCAAAATCAGGGCAGCTTCAGGGACTTGGATCTAGCCATCCTTTCAACAGCAGTTGAAGGATGTAAATTGTTCTAAAATAACAGAAAGAATAGAAATGGAGGTAGAGTTGCAATATATGTCAAAATACATATTCCTGCACAGAAATACAGTAGGAGGACACTGGTTGTCCCACTGAAGGTATCTGGATCAATGTAGTTGGGGTGAAAAACAAAAGTAACATGGTAATTGGAGCCTACTACTGACCTCCCAATCAAGCAGAGGATGCAAATGATACTTTTGAAAAACAAATTACAAAGAGTTGGGCTAGAGCAAAATTCGCCATATGTCGTGTGATCACTGGGAGGTAGATCACGCCGGACTGCTCCACAAGTGGTACAGACGTTTTTTCTAAGTGTGTGCATTTCCTCTCTTCCGCTGGTATCTTTACGTTGGGTAAATGGTCCTGAATAAAAAAGGGAATTCTGCATTCACGTATAGTTAACAATGAAGGAAGTAGTTGCTTTATTTTAAAAATGCTGAAAGGATTGTACTGTTCTGTTGATGTGTACTCTGTTCACCAAATACAAAAATGTAGATTTTTGTGATATTTGTGTATATGAATGTGTGCAATCAAACTTTTATATGGCAAGATAAGGACAAGGATGGAGAAACCTGGTTGCTTCCTTTCATTTCAAGTACACAGGGAAATTTTTTTTGATAAATTCTTTAAAATAAGCTATGAAATTCTTTCCCCATCTGCATTATTGGAATTTAATAGGAACCGCCATCCCCAGCGTGGAGGGAGCTATGTTGTTGCTGCCTCCCATTGCAGATGCTAAAGATAAAGATGCTCTCTGGAAAACTAGGTTGCAATCACAATCCCTTTTGACAGAGTTAAATGCACGCAAATTCAAACTCAGGCTTTTCAGAGTTAAGCACTAACCAGCTGAATGCTCAGAACTCCAGTATACTACACTAACCTGGCTCAACCCAGTGCCAGGAGGAGATGACAGGAGCTGTTGCCCAACAGAGAGGGCAGCAGATTGGACAAAGTTGGTATAGAAAATTAGCGTTTCAAATGCAGTCACAGCGCAGGTTCCGCAGCCAAGATTGTGCACCTTTTCTGGAGGCTTCTTATAGGCAGGAGAAGTTCTCATCACCCAAATACACTCCTTTCATTCCTCACTATGCAGGAACACACCCTGTCCCTAGATGAACTCTACCTGCTTTTAGAGGAGTTTCACCCCGTGACAGGTTCCTGAGCTTTACTTGCTTGACAGTATTTGTGCCATGGGGCCTTGGAACAGGAAGATTGGGGAGCAGCAACAAAGCAGAGTAAAGCCCAATTGATGTGCAAACTTGGGACTCCCTGTGAGCAGTCTGAAGAGATAGAAGACCCATACTTTTCCCATCCACCCCACCCCCACAGACCCTTGATGTCTGAGGTTGTCCAGTTGTCTTCACTCATCTGAACTTAATAATACTAATTGCATGCCATCAAGTTTATTCTGATTTATGGCAACTCTTTCCTAGGTTTTCTAGGTAGAGAACACTCAGAAGTGGTTTACCATTTTCTTCTGGAGGCATCCTGGGACTGTGTAGATTGCCCAAGGTTGCCCAGGCTGGCTCTTCTCTCAGAAAGCATGGTGGGGAATTGAATTTCCAAAATTCTGGCTCCGCAGTGAGATGCCTCAACCAGCCAAACTAAGCTATCCAGCTAGACTAATTGAACTTAATGAAACTCTAAAGGATTTTAAGTGCAAGTCACTTAGGTGATCAGCCCCACTCCTTTTGATCTCTCACAGGGTTATGATGCCTCTTTCTGACAGATTTTGGTTTTACTTGAGACATTTGGTGCCTCTGTGTATGCCTACGTCTTGGCTTTTGAAGCACTGATTGGGATGATGCTCATGACTCCTTTGGGTAAAATGTAGCAGAACTTTCACTCTTTTGCTTCTTGACACCTGGTGTGTACATTACTTCTAAAACATAGCTTGTTCTGTTCTTTATTAGGAGCCCTGAATAGGAACTAATTTCTGTCCTTATTCCCCAGTCCCTCAGAGCAAAGTGTTTCATTGCTTGTTATTAAATCATCTAGAGTGGGAGAGTCATGTTATCTCACCAAAGTGGGAGAAGGATTATTTATCGGGTAGTTTGTTCCCCTGGTGTTTTTTAGCTCCTTGTTCATTGGGTTTCCTGCCTTTCAGAGGGACGGAGCATACTGTCTGTTCTCTGAGGCTGCTGTCTGAATTGTATTACAAAGCTAGAGCGTTGCTTCTTTGTATGGTCTGTCGATCTGCAAACGAGCAAAGCGACACTAAAGTTTTGTAATCTGATTCACCAGCTGCTTCTGCCAGCAGCTGTTACTACCTCATAGAGATAAGGTAAGCTCAAACTCTAGACGCCACCTGACCCTCAAAACAAATAATGCTTAAAAAAGCATTACTCGGTACCTCAAACCCTTGTGATGAGTTGCTTCTGAGCTCTGAGGAAACTGTACTGGGAATGATCCAGAGAGCCAGAAGTATGAATTTAGAAGTATGAAGTGTCTGTTGTTCCTCCATCTAATCTGCATTCTACAGAGAGCCAGAAGTATGAATTTAGAAGTACAATATGAAGTGCCTGTTGTTCCTCCACCTAATCTGCATTCTTAATTCCACATTCTAGATGATGGTTTCCCAACTTTGGGTAACCCAGGTGTTCTTGGACCTCAGTTTGCCCTTCCCAACTTTGGGTAACCTAGGTGTTCTTGGACCACAGTTTCCAGAAACCCCTGACAGCAGAGCTGGTGGTGAAGGCTTCTGGGAATTGGAGTCGAAGGACACCTGGGCTAGCCAAGGTTGAGAGAGACACTCCTCTAGATCCAAAGCTGCTCTGCTGTGCCTCGGGGACATGTCTTTCTTTCAAAATCCTTCTTCCTCATCCTTACTTTGGGTAACCTAGGTGTTCTTGGACCACAGTTTCCAGAAACCCCTGACAGCAGAGCTGGTGGTGAAGGCTTCTGGGAATTGGAGTCGAAGGACACCTGGGCTAGCCAAGGTTGAGAGAGACACTCCTCTAGATCCAAAGCTGCTCTGCTGTGCCTCGGGGACATGTCTTTCTTTCAAAATCCTTCTTCCTCATCCTTTTCCTCCCCTAGTTTCTTCGAATGCAATGACCCAGCAACCCCAGGATGAATTTGATAGCAGCGTGGAGAAGGCCATAGACTGGATGAAGACCATCCAGGAGAGGCTGAAGATGAATGACAACACCAAGGGGCCTCGGTCTGCCTTGGAAGCCAGGCTGAGGGAGACAGAGGTAAAGAATTCTGCTTATATTCCTTGGGTACAAAGCACTCAGAAATGGTGTTTACTCTGTGGTGGTGTTTCTGGTGGCACTCTTGCACTATGTAGCATGCCCATCACCACACAGGCAACAGGGCATGTATGTATACCAGCAATACACACTCAGGATGATCTCAGCTGCCCCTGCTATCCCCATAGAAACAGTGAGGATTTGAACTCACAGAACCTGGCTCTAGAGCAATTGACCTCCCACTCACTGAGCTATACTGTATCAACCAAAAATGATGGAACTCTCTCCTAAAACAGGTTTGCTGTGTTCTTTCCCTTTCTGGTGGAAAGGGATTGTGTTATTTCAGAGTGTGTGGTGTTCTCATAATGTCGGCCTAGCTAGGCACGATTCCCTTCAGTAGTTGGGGATAGCCCTTAACAATTAAAAGTTGTAGGCATCTGGGATACGGATTGGGACCTTGGAATGAGGGGGCTTCAGTCCTTTGCACCCAGCGGGAGTACCTGACCTGATCAAGGAGTACACCTGGAAAAAAAGTTCTTGTGGCATAAGTGGAAGCTTACCTTCCACATATAAACAGGCGTGTGATTTCTGGATTGAGGCAATTATGGCAGGCAAAAGGTTATGTCCTTCCTGCTCCCATATCAGGGTCTCATTCTAGATAAAAGGGATAGCCATGTGAATGACATCTCGGTGCTTTAAAACAGCATCCTACTTCCTGTCACTTTCATCTTGTATGAATGTTACTGCTGTGATTTTGCTTTATACAGTACTAGTAGTGGGTTTTAATTACTTAATAGGATCGTAACAAAATCAACAGCTGTGGTATCTTTGAAGCAGTAAAGAAACAGAAACATTCTCAAAGTCTGAAAATTAAAGTCATGATACTCTTCTGTTAATGTGCAATTTGTATACTTAGCATTTAATTCAACCTAGAATCTAGATCAACTCATTATGGGCCATACTATGACTGATACTGTGTCACAAATTTGTGCTAATTGCATAAACCAGTTGTGTAAATAAGGCCACAGTTAGTAGTTTTGTTCTTGTTTTTTTCATTTCCCTTCAAGATGGCTGGAAAGCTGGGTAGCATGGCTATTTCTTGACTGGCTTTATCAATAATGCCAGGCTTTGAGGGTCCTGGGCCCAAGACATTATGGGTTGGATGGGAGAAATATCCCCTGTCCCTGAACAAGCAATTTGCTCTGAATTTGTGTAGGATGATTATCCATCCCTGTCGACCATCCTGTTGTGGTTTTTGCATGAAGCAGATGGTATTACATAGGACATGCAGTTGGTCTCAACTGAACAATATATATTGTGTGTGTGCAATTTCTTTTTAACTGCTGCTTTCCTTGGCTGGGGTTTCAGGTGTGGCATTTTGATTTACTGAGGCACCCTTCATGGTCAGGAAAAATTGCAAATATTTGTTGCAACGTTATTGTCTACTTCACCATTCTGTTTCCAGAGTGGCAGTCCAGATGTCCATGGGACGTTCACAAGTATGAGCACAAATTCAGAGGTTGTCCATTGCTGCCCGTTTAACATTGCTAACTGTGAAAGCGATCCAACCTGGATATGTCAGAAAGAGATCCTTTGATGTTGCTACCCCTACGCTCCAGAATCGCCCTCCTCCCTGTGAAATGTGAAATCAACATGCAATGTAAACTGGAACTGTTTCAGCTGGCTTTTGGATGCAGCTAATTTCATCTGTGTTTCCACCACTTCGTGGTGACATATTTTCTGCTTCTTAGAATGTTATGTCTGCTATATGCGTCAATGTCTTTTATTGTTTTAATCGTATGTTATGGGTGTCCTTGGGCAGAAAGAACTATGTATACATGACAAGAATAAGAAAATAAGAATACAAACAAGTATAAGAAAATAAGTAGGGGAGGAATGAAAAGCATTCTCTGATTCATATTTCCCCAAAACTGGTACACAGAGACATGCTCCCTGTGGTACAGAGAGTAAGATATAATTTGGCAAGTATGTATTAAAGGAGGTGAGGAAGAGAAAACTGGCAAAATATTGTTGCACTTTAGATAATGTTAGTCTTGCGTTCCATGAATTTGCCTAATTCTTTTTAAAAACCTTCTAAATGGATGGCTCTCGCCACATCTGTATGATGTGGTTAAATAAACTCCACCGCCCAGGTTGTCAAGCAAGTCCAAACCCGCTTGGCCTCCATGGTTCTGCTCTACCACCTGCTCCCAAACTATCCATGTCTTTCTTCACTTGAGGTTTCTGAGTAAGAATACACCTTTCAAGTTCCACAGCTTTACAGGCATTAACTTGTGTGCCCCCACATCAATGGGATTTCCGTGCACTGGATTTGCAGATTGGTATGTGCAAAGCAAACCTGAGTCAAATAAAGGTAACAGCAGTCATGGAATGGAGGCAATTTCAGCCTGCTCTTCATATCGTATAGGTTAGAGTTATACCACTCAGTTGTGGTTGTTATGTAACAACAGGAGTGTTGGAGCTCAAGGAGTGTTTGGGTATTTCTTTCTCTCTTGCTTTGTTTTTTGTTTGTTTCTTAAAGTTGTCCTTTGTTGTGACTACTGTTGTAATCTTATTCCTCCTGCAAATTGTATGCAAAAACTCACTTTTTCCCCTCACTGCTGCTTCTAATTTTAATTTTTTTTTCTTTTTACTCTTTCTCTCAGCAGCTGAGATTTTTCAGTAGGGTATATCGGTTGCTGAAATCCTGTCGGTGGTATCATACTGTTGATGAGATTAGCAACAGCAATGATTTTTCAGTCATTAAACATTTCCAACTTTTGTCCCAAAGCTCATGAGGCTCTCATGTAACACTTTTCTTCACCAGCTAGCTGCGGAAGCTGTGGGACAAGAGGGACAAGTCTTTAATTACAAAATATCACTGGTGCTAGTAAAGTCGTCCCAATTGTGGGGATTTTCATTAATTATTTCCCTCTCCCATCCTGCAGCTCCCACAGGTTCCCAAAGAAGAAAGGGTTATATGGAAGTCAGAAGTGTTTGATACCTGAAAAATTGCTGCTTGTGTTTTACTACCAGAGAAACTACCAGTCCCCTAATCCCTTGCAGCTCCCATGGATCTTAGCTTCTCACAGATGCTTCCTCAGCTGTGGAAAGTGGCTATCGGAGTCTTCATTCTCCACCTGTGTTTAACTGAAAACTAATTTAATTTAATTTAAAACTTTAATTTCTTGGCTAAAACCCCTAGAATTCTGACTAAAGGAATTCCTGCCGAATTTTGAGGGCTGAAGTTAAATAAGTACCAGAGTCCCATGTCTAAACCTGGCTCACATAGTCATTCTGGCTGCTGCATTCTACAACAGTTATTAGTGTACAGAGCATCATTAAGGGCATCATTAAAAGCACATGATAGTAATTAAACCTGGATAACTAGAGCATGTGTTATAAAGCAAGGTCCTTTTTTCCTGGATGAGATTGCAACTGGTGGACCAGGAGACTCAAAGTCCATCATGTCTGGAGGTCTTGAGGCTGGAGAAGGCTCTAGTACCCCAGTGGTGCCCATTATTCCAGTCTGACTGCCTATATCAGCCGTAGGATTCTGCTGGATTGGTACCGTGTTTGAATGCTCTGTTCAGCAAGATCTGTGTCCTCCTTTGGTGGTGATAACAACTTGAAATTCTTTTTTTTTCCCCCAAGTCTATTTCTTGTAACATTCCTTTTTAAAAGACTATTCAGAGTTTAATTCTGCTCAACAGAAAATCAGTGCACTGGAACCAGAAGGCCGACTGAAAATGGACTTGGTTCTAATGAAGGCGGATGCTCTCCTTCAGTGCATCAGTGAGGAAAGAAAGCACGAGGTCTTATCCAAACTGAAGGATATTAAAGCCATGTGGGAAGAAACAACCATATACATTACTCATTGTCACAGGTGAGATTGCCAAAATGTGCCTCCTACAGGCCTATAACCAGGCAGGGCCTTCAACTACTTGGTGAGCCTAACACTGGCAAAATCAGCACACTTTTCTCAAGCATAATTCAGGGCTAGTCCTTTCATTAGTTGAAGTAAAATGGCCACCTCAGGTATCCTATGCTGGTAGATGTGAGGGTTTGCTGTGAATTCCCTTTCCCTATTTTTCTTGAACTAGGAAATGGGGTAGTGCACAAAAAGGGCCTGGCTGATGAGTTGTGTTTTGACTACCTGTGTTCTCGACAGAACATACACACCTTGTCCACCATAAATAATTAAAATTTCCAAAAAAACCCCTACAAATGCTGAAAACCGCAGATAATAGTGAACACTATACATAGCATGGTAAACGAAAAGAATTAGAAAAAAATATTTTCACATGCATTATCACATTGAGCCAGTAGAGGGTGCTAGACATCCTTTATCAACAATACAAGAATACATAGCTTGGTTTCTGGCTCTCTTTAGTGACCAATTTTGGTAAATACATCATGAAAACAGTTATTTGTAGTTTTGTGTTTTGTTTTTTTTAAAAAATCTATAATATTTTCAGACTGCGGATAAGTGAAACTGTGGTTCCCGATCCTGCGGATATTAGGGGATCCTAGTGTATAATGCCTGTTAAGGCAGATGCAGACTGAAACAGTATGTTACTTTGGAAAAGTAATGTTCTAAGCTGTGAATCTGAACTTCCCTATCTTTTTCCTCCACACCTAACAGCCGTATTGAGTGGGTATGGTTGCACTGGAGTGAATACTTGAAAGCCCAAGATGAATTTTACACATGGATTCATAACATGAAGGTGACTTTGGAGCCTGACATTGAGCTGCAGCTTGGCTTGAAGGAGAAGCAATGGCAGCTCAGCCATGCTCAGGTTCTGCTGAACGATGTCCTAAATCAAGCAACTCTGCTGGAACGGCTTCTGGAGGAAGCCACTTCCCTGTATAACCGGATTGGAGATCCAAGCGTAGATGAAGACGTTCAGAAGAAGATGAAAGAAGAATATGAAGACGTCAAGAACGAAGCACAGGTAAGCATGACTAAGAGTGAAGAGAGACAAAATATGAAAATATCAGTTGCTGTGGATATAATTTAGATTTAGATACCAATACTGGTGTAGCCTAGAAATCACACACTCATTGCTGTAGAGACACTCCCAGTTCTGAACCAGATGTGACCATGGTTTACCCTGCAGTTTCCCATCACATCTTCATGTTCAGCCAGGTGTTGCTACAGCATCTTGAAATCTATGATCTGCTGTTGAGTGGTGCTGCTGTTTCGTCTCTTGAGCCAAATACCATTAGAACTAATGTGGGTCAATCTGTAGCATGGCTTACAAGAGAAGACTTTCTTCACAGGTAGAAGCAAGGTGTGGCTGGGTCTTTGGCTACCACCCAGACTTCACTATTTTATGGTTCAACTCATTAAATTAAATGGGTTTGGAATTGTCATATATTGTATATTTAGTCTACATCAGCTTTCCCCAGCATGATACTTCCAGATGTTTTGCAGGACAACATTCATCATCCCTAGCAGCAAAGGAGGTAGGCATGATGGAGGTGGTTGTTGATCATAGCTGAAAAGAACCACATCTGGTCCACATGAACAAGATACATGCATCATCTTGATGGTCTTGTATAGTTGTCAATAACTGTACATGGATCAGATGTGGACATTTAAGAAAGGGCTTTCTAATAAAGCCATGCATCATCTTGATGGTCTTGTATAGTTAGTCGATAACTGTACATAGATCAGATGTGGACATTTAAGCAAGGGCTTTCTAATCAAGCAAAAGCAAAGCAAGGCGTGCTGCTTATATACCAACCCATAGTGCTCCAAGCACTCTCTGGGCAGTTTACAAGTTAATTATGCAGGCTACACATCCCCCCCCCCCCCCAGCGAGCTGGGTACTCATTTTACCAACCTCAGAAGGATAGAAGGCTGGGTCAACCTTGAGTCGGATACCTGGGATTGAACCCTGGGTCGTGAGCACAGTTTTGGCTGCAGTACAGCAGTTTAACCACTGCGACATATCCGAAAATTGACCAGATCCTTATTCAGGCTTATTAACTGCGTGCCCCCAAAGCAGGCTGAATCTAGGTGGTCTGGTCAACGACAAAAGCAGACATAGGAAAGGAAAGGAAAATATGAAGGTGCTTTATTCAGAGCTTGGAAAAGCTACTTTGGCCAGCTGAGGCATTCTGGGAGTTGTGGACTGAATATCTAAGTTTTTGAAGCTGTGCTTTTCTAGGTCAGATTACTAATCCATTTAGCCCTGTATTGTCTATTTTTGCTGGCAGTCACTTTTCCAAAGTGTCAGCAGGCCTTTGTACCATGTAAACTGGAGATTTAAATCCTGGATGCTCTGTGTGCAAAGCATGTGTTCTGCAATTGATCTACAGCAGCTTCTTTTTCATGTCCTTCTGTTTTCTTGGAAGCCAAAATATGCTTGGCATGCAGAGCATCCCAGAATTGACTGGGAGAGAGTAATGGTCAGTCTTTCTCCTAAACAGAGAATTTTGTTTTTTGCTTAGATTGGCTAAGCCCAGATGTCACTGCAGAGAACAAGAAAATACATGCTTCTCCTTCGTGCCAAACAATAATCTCCCCTTTCCTGGTTACAGTCTTCCTCAGAGTATCAAACTATAATTACTGAAACATTTTTACAGCTTTGCAACCAATGTCTTTTCCACCCCTATCCTCAAACAAGTTACATTACGCTGAAACCTTTTATTGGCAATCCACAATTCAAGTAATATGGGACATTCTGTCCTTCTAGCTTGAGCGAGACGAATATGGGACATTCTGTCCTTCTAGCTTGAGCAAGATGAACCGATTGTTGTTTAGTCGTTAAGTCGTGTCCTATTCCTCGTGACCCCATGGACCAGAGCACGCCAGGCCCTCCTGTCTTCCACTGACTCCTGGAGTTTGGTCAAATTCATGTTGGTCACTTCGACGACACTGTCCAACCATCTCATCCTCTGTCGTCCCCTTCTCCTCTTGCATTCACACTTTTCTAACTTCAGGGTCTTTTCCAGGGAGTCTTCTATTCTCATCAGATGGCCAAAGTATTGGAGCCTCAGTTTCAGGATCTGTCCTTCCAGTGAGCACTCGGGGTTGATTTCCTTTAGAATGGATAGGTTTGATCTCCTTGCAGTCCAGGGGACTCTCAAGAGTCTCCTCCAGCAGCACAATTCAAAAGCATCAATTCTTCGGTGGTCATCCTTCTTTATGGTCCAGCTCTCACTTCCATACATCGCTACTGGAAAAACCATAGCTTTGACTATGCGGACCTTTGTCAACAAGGTGATGTCTCTACTTTTTAAGATGTTGTCGAAGTTTGTCATCGCTTTCCTCCCAAGAAGCAGGCATCCTTTAATTTCATGGCTGCTGTCACCATCTGCAGGGATCAGGGAGCCCAAGAAGGTAAAATCTGTCACTGCCTCCATAACTTCCCCTTCTGTTTGCCAGAAGGTAATGGGACCAGTGGCCATGATTGTTTTTTAATTTACTCGGTTCAGATTAGCAGGAAGCCTGACTGATGTTTGTCTTCTTTTTTAATTACAATACAACAACAAAAAAGCGCAGCTAAAATATGTTTAAACATCCAAAAAGAAAAACTAAGGGAAAATCTATACACATAGTGCATCCCACCACAAGGACCACGAGGGGCTAACCAACTATTCCATTTACCCTGTTAGCAAAGTGGAACCTAATTCTGTAGTGGTCTAATTGCCTACTTCCTTTTCAAATATTGATAAACATGCTATTCAGGACATACAGCTAAATTTAAATTGCTTACTTCATTTATTCCCTTAAAAACCAATTGACAAATGTCAGTATATACTCACATTCCCCCACATATGAAAATATGTATCTATTTTTTTGGCACCCTTTCCAACACACCTTAGATTAATTACCATCTGTTCTATTACGATCCACTGGAGTAAAGTGCCGTATCCAAACTCACATATAAATCCTCTTCATCCTTAGTTTATACCCTCATTCATCCATCATTTGCCCAAGAGCAGAGAAAAAGAAACCTGCCCACACAGTTTTCCATATATTTTCGTAAGCAAAATACAAGCTAGTAATGTGGCCCACACAGGCCCCCTGGTGGAAGCATGATCCCATGGAAACCAATAGATTTTAGCAAAATTACAGAATACTGTACTGAAGTACATATATTCCTTTCCGTAGATTTAATATTTTGATTTCCCAGACATAAAATTGAAATTATGACATCACTGTTGTGCAAAGATGCAGACATCTTCAGCTAATCTCTCCTTCTTCCTTCCTCTCTCTCAAAAGAAACCAAAGGTTGGGACCTTACAAGTGTTTTGAAACCTTGCATTTGCTTAATTAAATGATGAGTATTTACAGCACAAGGATACCCAGTGTGGTGTAGTAAATAAAGTGACAGATTAAGACTCAGGAGGTCTGCATTTGAATCTCCATTCAGCCATGGAAACTCACTCCTTAAAACATCTTACTTACCCTGAAAGTCCTGTTAGAGTTGCTCTAATTTTGTTCTAAGTTGATAGCATATGGCAACAACATAATATTTATTATATACACAATAAAATACATAATATTTATTCATTAACATAATAGCACAGCCATGTCTAGGCTGGAATCATGTTGCTTAGCATAGTACGTCAAATCTAGAATAAGCCTATTGAATTAATGGAACGAACATATGGAGGAAATGATTCATCGAATCCCCATTGATTCAATGGGCATACTACACTGTGGTACACGATTTCTGCCATTGTTTCATCCTCATAGTGAAGGCAAACGATTTAAAATTCCTGACAGCAGCAAAGTAACTTCGTAGAGGGAAAAAGGAAGGAAATGGGATCTTTGTCTTCTGCGTCTTTTGACAAAACTGAAGTGCAAGGAGAAAATATAACTTTCACTTTCTCTTCTGATATTTCTCATTTCAGAGAAGAGTAGGATTGCTTGAGAAAATAACAAAAGAACACGAGCGATACAAGAGCAACATTGACCAGTTTCAGTTGTGGCTGACGCAGGTGACAGAAAGACTAAACTGCTGCCTTAATCAAGAAGTGAAATTAGCAACAGAAAATAGAATAAAGGCATTACAGGTACTTTGGTTTTCATTACTATTTTTTGTTGTTGACTGGAGGTGTAGGAAGCTATCTTAAAACTCATTATGCAAGCCACAGGGGCCACGCGCCATGATGCAAAACATTGCCATCCAAAACAACAACCATACATTCAAAACTTTTTTAAAAAATGGAAAATGCCACTCCCAGAATCTTACTTCCAGAAAATGTGGTCTGTCTTCAAAACCAACCACATGGTTTCTGTGTGCTTTATGTGAAATAAGTGGGTTTCTTGCAGGTGGGAAATGAAGGCTTTGTCAGCCATTTCATCCCTCTGAAGAAGAAAGAGGAAATGGGTGGAAGTGGCTTAGCTCTGTGGGAACTGGAATGGATTGGGGACAGGTTGCCTCTCTCCTGTTAGGCTCTGCACAGGGTGTTTCTCACAGAAAAACCTACAATTTTTCTAATCCCTTGGAATTTCCACAGAACTTAGCCATGCACACCTATTTCCTCTTTCATCCTCCCAGGGCCAAAATGGCTGCTGGAGCTTTCACTGTGAATAACAGAAAACTGCTGGGAAGACTTTGACTTCTTGGCTAAAGCCCCAACATTCTGGATGAGAGAATTCCTGGTGATTTCTGGGGTCTGAACTCCAAGAAATATGAAAGTCTGATGCCTATGAGGCAACTTCCTTAAGTTGTGAAGTTACAATACATTGGAATCCGCCCACCTGCCCCCAGAAACCACTATAGACATTCACTGGGGACATTCCTGCTGCCACCACGTCAACACCTTCTTCTGAATTAGCTGCTACCGAATTTCAGTGGTCCTGCAGTATTTATCTTTGGTGTCTCAGTGGTGACGTAGTGAATGCTGGTGACTCTTGGTGTTGTGGGTCCTGTGAATCTATTCCAGGTTTTATTCTGAAATTCATAGGTGGTATCCCAATTACTGAACCCAGCCTGAATGCTTTAGGTCAGTGGTCCCCAACCTTGGGCCTCCAGATGTTCTTGGACTTCAACTCCCAGAAATTCTGGCCAGCAGAAGTGATGGTGAAGGCTTCTGGGAGTTGGAATCCAAGAACATCTGGAGGCCCAAGATTGGGGACCACTGCTTTAGGTAGCCCTTTGAGTTTTTAGACTAAAATTTGGTGTAGATCCATCACCTCCATGAAATCAGTCATCAGCCTCCAATGGGGAGAGAGAACACATTAAACAAAAGGGGAACAACAGATGGCAAACGTGAACGATCCCGGTAGATTCTGGAGATTTAGGAAGTTGCTTGCATTGAGCCCCTTCCTCTTGCAGGACATTGCCAAAGATGTGAAGAGTGGAGAAAAGAAGTTGAAACATCTCGAAACTCAGTCTCATGGGGTGATGCAGAACACCTCCCCGCTGGGAGCGGAGAAGATGAAAGCTGAGCTTGAGGACCTTAAAAAAGCCCTGGAAAAACTCAAAGTTGTGAGTGCAGAGGAAGAGGAGAGGCTGCTGAAAAGCCTGAAATCAGAAAATGCCCACCACACTCAAGCCAGGCTCCTCGAAGCCGAGGTCCAGGAGTTCCGTAAGGGTCTGCATAAGCTAGGAAAGAGCTTTGAACCTGATGGCCAAGTGAGGAGTGAAGAGGATTTAATTGATCTCTGGAGGAAACACGTGGTAAGTGTTTCTTTGTCAGTCAGAGATGGAGAGCAAAGAAAAGTAGACAGGTGTGGTCACTGAATAAAGAACTAGCTCCTTTATGCTAGCCTAGACCTAGTTTATTACATTTGCCATGTATCTACTGTATATAGTGACATTAAAACTTTGCTTCTGTGCATGGGCAAGTATATTAAAATATGTGAGCGGGATCCCATTAAAATATTTGCAATGTGAAGTGCTCCCTTTCAGGTCTCCAACCAACCAGTCAGACTTGCCCTTTTCCAGTATACTCCATTCTGGAACTGGAAAGAAGCAAAAAGCAAAGCACATTGCTTGTATACCGCCCTATAGTGCTTAAAGCACTCTCTGGGCTGTTTACAATTGAATTATACAGGCTACACATTGTTCCCTCCCCCCATCCCCAAGCAAGCATTTATTCAATTTAGCGGCTTCAGAAGGATGGAAGGCTGAGTGAACCACAAGCCAGCTACCTGGGATTTAACCCAGGTTATGAGCAGAGTTTTGGCTGCAGTACTGCAGTTTAACCACTGTGCCACAAGCAGAGGTGTAAGATTTCTGGAAATGTTCATTTTTTTTTCATGTTTTCCCCCACCCCTCGTGGTTTTTTTTTTTCAGAAAAATGGACAAATTTCAGAAATTTTACATCTCTAGCCACAAGCTATTCACTAAATTCCTCATGCTCGTCAATTTAGTGTATCTAGAAAGAACAAGACAACTCCCGGAGGAATTCTAAAGCTCTAGAACAGGGGTGTCCAACCTTTCACCTTCTCTGGGCCACATTAGAAGATGAAAATTTGGTTTGGGCCGCACCTACATTTGGTTTGGGCCGCATGGGGGGGCAGCCCTAGCCGTCCTCTGCAGCCCCGCTCCAAGCGCGCTTACCAGCAGCTGCGATCTCAGACAGCAGAGGCTGCCAGCTTCGACTCCGGTGGCTTTATGGGGCTGGGAGGGGGTCCACCTATTGATGGGGATGGCACAATGCAGTCACGCAGCCCCCCTGTCCCCTCCCCTCCCACTCCTTCCTTCCTTCCCTCTCTCCCCCTCTATTGTTGTGACATGCCCCGGCCATATTCCGGCTGCAAGTGTAACTTGAAACTTTGGAATTTCTTTAAAAATAAAAATTTGCACTGGGCCGCATTACGAGCTGACCTGGGCCGCATGCGGCCCTCGGGCCACAGGTTGGACAAGCCTGCTCTAGAAGATTCCTTGCCTCCAGCTAAGAGAAAGACAAAAAGTTCTCTCTTTTTTTTCTTTCTCAGGATTTTTCTGATTTTTAAAAAATATTACTAGTGTTTTTTCACCTTTAAAAGCCAAGCACTTATACATACTTGTAGCAGGTATAGAATAGCTATCTGATAGTTAAGAAAGGAGGAAACATCCCATAAGGCAACAGTGTTCCTATTTCAGATTAAGGGATGTAATTGGCACAGTCATGTAAACTCCAATGTTTTGCACAAACAAAAGCATTTACTGTACTGTATTTCTATAAATCCAGGCAATTGCATACAAAGCAATCTACAAGAGCCCTGTTAAGAGAGTTGCAAAATTCCTCACCAGTGAAGAAAATAATTTACAACTCCTTTTTCTTGCCTGCAAGGATGACACAAGCAAAGATTTACATCCCTAATCCAATTATTTTCTTCTACCTCTATTCCAGAAGCATTTGCCATTCCCTGACCACTGAGTTCTCATGTTCAAGTTTTCAATGGGCTGATCTTGAGAACTTAGTTTTCTTTTCTTGAATTTGGGTTTTGGGGTTTTTTTAAAAGAGTGCTTAAGTCTATATATTAGGGATGTGTCATTTTGGATTTTTTGGACTCCCAACTCCAAGAATTTCCCACAGATAGAACATCTTAGACCCACATCTTAGACAGCTGTTTTCCCCTCACCTGGAGTAGGTTCTCAGCTTCCAGAGCTCTATTGCATTATTGGCCTTCATTTCTTGCTATAATGTTTTCTGGAGAAAAGCTACCTCAGTGCTTCTTGGGGATGATAGTCTCACTGCCTTTTAGACACTACAGAGGGCACCTCCTGAAGAACTACCAGGCCCAGAAAGCACTGTGGCAGTTAATGAAGGCCTAGAAATGGAACCTTGGAGGATTAGGCCCTGTTCCAGGTGAGCAAAAAAGTAAGTTTCTGAGACTGGAACTCCCAGAATTCTGTCTAAGGGAATTCTTGGAGAATTCTGGGATTTGAAGTCAACAAAATCTGAATGGCGCATCCCCATATATTATCTTCACTGATTTTTTTTCAAGCTGGGAATATGGTTTGTTTTTTTTTTTTTAACTTTGCTGCACTTGATCATGTCTTTATAAATTGCACTTATTGCTGGGGCTACTTTTACATTTATTATAGTGGTGGTGGTTCTTTTATTGAGAGAGAAAAAACAAGCCACCTTGAGTTTGAATTTACCAAAGAAAGATGGAATATAAATGCCCACATAGATAAAAGGAAGGTAAGAAATGAAACAAGAGTATCATTGGCCCAGAGTTTCTCCATGTTCAGAGAAGGGGCGGAGGGCACAAGAATATTATACAGTTACCAATGCATATGGCCTTAGTTGAAGTTCATAATGTACTTTGCTCGTATAATTTTTACAGGCAGGCCCAGTGACAAAGGAGCTTGCAACAACGAAATGGCTTTTTTTCTAAATACAGCATGAAACTCAGAAGAGAAAGGTTGGTAGAAATAAAAGGAATAAGAGGGGAAAAGATAGAGTGGTACATATATACATGAAGAGATAAAC